ACAGAGCTCAAGCATGGTAAAACATGAGGGAAAGCTTCTTTGAGTTGACCCAAAACATGCAAGAATGATGATTCAAACACAAGATGCATGTTAAGGCAATAGAGAGGATTGCACTACAAGTGCATAGTGCATGGTGCATGCAAAAGGCTATCAAACCAACCTTAGATAGAGGTATATCATGCTGAAATAAGGTCTAATACATGCTAAGATGGAGCCAAAACAAGTTTAACAAACATGTTACTTTTATGGGCCATCAATACAAGCATATGAGACATAAGGAGAGGAGATATCCTCTCCTATTTGGGACCTCAAAACGCCATTTTCACCACTGAAAATCCTCTGGATTTCAATGGTGAGAAGGCCAAAACAAGGTCATCCCAATAGCTTAAAAGGAAGGCACAAGAACAAGACCAAACAAGGCCTAAGAGAGGGTAGACAACCCCCAACACAAAAGTGACCTTAAACAAACATTACAAGCATGAAAAATTAGAACTTTTTACAGTAGAAATTTAAGCTTAAATCATCATGCAAATAGGTCCAAAATCTTAAACCAAAACAAGGGTTTAAAGGCTAGTTGACTCACCCTTGAAGAACACCTTCAAGAACACAACTCCAACACTCTTTTCTAATCAAAACCAATCCAAAAACACTAACACCAGCTCCTATGTACCTCAGCAACAAAATGATGGTGTTCTAGTAGGTGCTTTAGTGTAAAAGTATGAAGAAAATACACTTTTGACCACAAACTAGGGTAAATATGGAGAGAGAGGTAAAATATAGAGAGAGAGTGATATATGTTTTGTATATCAACTTTTCAGACCCTCTAGAAGGGGAGAGGGGTCTCCCTTCTTATAGAAATTCAACTCTCAAGCTTGTTGAGCAAGCTTGAGACTTGAATCAATACCGCCATACACGTGAGGATGAGATCTGTGCTTACCAGCTGTCACAACTGGCACAAAAATATCTGCAAAAGCAGGTGGAAACATCTCGGCCAAGAAATATGGTCGATCGACCAAAAAGAGTGCCGATCGGCCACCACTTATGGCCGATGGCAGGAAAACAAGGCCGATGGCACAAGGCCTTAGCCAATGGGTTGTAGGGATGGCCAACAAGCCACCCTCTTCCCTCAGAAGCAAAAACCACAAGTCCTTGGTCCACAACCAAGCACAAAACAAACAAGTTGAGAGATCCTAAGGCAAGGCGCGTAGCTGAGACCTTCATGAACTCAAAATGAACACGAGCATGGATGATCATCGAGTATTCAAACGATGACGTCCAAGTCTTAAGGACGGTCAAAAATAGGGTGTCTACACCCTAGTACATCAGAGTCAAAAAAGGGATACTTCTTTTCTGGTAGTTCCTTTAGAGATGGGCGTATTTCCTTCCTTTCTTCTTTCTTCTTGTCTTTCGTTGAAATCTTGATTGGAGTTGTGGTTATCGCCATTGCTTCTTTGGTGGTACCTTTGAAAGGCTTGCCTTCTTTTTTCACTTCTTTGTTATCTTTCTTTGTTCAAGAATGGGAAGGTCTTTCCCGCCATGGTTGGCTATGCTAATTTCCATGTCATGTGAACGTGTAGCTAACTCTTCAAATGTTCATGGTTTTATCCCTTGAAGGATGTAAAGGAGTCCCCAGTGCATGCCTTGCATACACATCTCCACAGCTGAGATCTCAGAGAGTTGGTCTTTGCAATCTAGACTTAGAGCACGCCAACGGTTGATGTAGTCTACCACGGGCTCATCCTTCCATTGCTTGGCATTGGTTAATTCCATCATGCTCCCTATACAATGGGTGCTATAGAAACGATTAAGGAATTCATGTTCTATTTGCTCCCAACTGTCGATTGACTCAGCCTCCAAATCAATATACCAATCAAAGGCATTTCCTTTGAGTGACCAAACAAATTATTTAACAAGTAGATCTCTGTCTGTCCCGGCATTGTTACAAGTTTCAACAAAGTGAGCGACATGTTTAGGATTACCTTTTCCGTCAAACTGTTGAAACTTAGGAGGTTGGTATCCACTAGGCATTCTGAGAATGTCTATCCTCTTTGTGTAAGGCTTGGAGCACATGAAAGCGCTTTACGAGGGCCTACCGTATTGTGCTCAGATGGTATTTACAATCATGTCTTGGAGTTGTTGAATAGACAAAGAAGCAATGGATGTTGGTTGACTTCTTGTGCCAATCGCTTGCCTCACAATAGATGTATGGAAAGTTTCCTCACCAATAACTTGCTTGGACTTATACGCAGGGTTCACCTTCTCAACAAGAGTGCCTTGTGGTGTAAATCTAGGTTGATGAGAATTGTCTTAGCTTGCCTCATCAGCATTTCGTGCTTCTAACTTGTTCATCAAGGTTGCAATCTGAAGATCTTTCTCTTCCACAGTTTTGGTGAGCTTGTTAATGGCACGAGCCATAGTCGCCAATTGTTCTTCCACTAAAGTGGTGCCAGTGGTCATGACTTGCATAGCCACCGAGCGAGACAAATCTAAGTGATTCGATGAAATTGAACATTAAGGACTATTAGGAGATGATCCTGAGTGTGAGTCTGTACTTGAGTTTACATCAGAAGCTATGGGTGTTGGGTGTGGAGAGAAACCTTCTGGTAGAGAATCCTTTGAGATAGAAGTGGACTTCTTTCATTCCCTCACTTCCTTTTGCTTAGCCCCAGACATGGATACCGTGATAGATTTGTAAGACTTGCCTTGCGCTTGCTTTGTTGCATTGGCGGTCGGCATGACCCCGTGAGTGGCGAGAGCAATGGTTTCCTTCGTGTTACTACGGGTGATCAGACCCGTAGAAATGTTGTTGTCGCTGGTCATGACAGCGGCATTCTTGCTAGCGTTCTTATTGATTGGAGCAATTTGAACTTTCTTTGAAGCCATTATACTTAATCAAACAAGACTCCACGAAGATGCTTTAGTAGAAAGAGATGAGAGGCAAAGAGGTCCCACTGGGCGTGCCAAAATTTGTAAACACAAATTTCGTATCCTGCAATTAAAACGCGAAATAAATGCACAAATAAGTAATTTTATTGATTATAATAAATGGGTACAATCCTCTATGGTTTGCTCTACTACAATAGAACAAATCCTCTTATTCGATCTCCGAAATGGATGTAATTCAACGGCTGTAAAATCTTATTGTTGAACTAGACAAGTTGATGAATTTCTTCAAGTCTTCGAATGGAGAAACTTGGAGAAGAAAGGCTTGATCAAGGGCTTGAACGGCTTGATCTCGAATGAGTCTTGAAATGATCTTCTTGAAAAGAGAGACCAATTTGTATTTATAACTTGAAAGGATTGGCACAAGTTTGGAGTGCTTGATAATCCTTTCTTTTGAGTTTGAGGAATTTTTTAGAGAATTTTAAGAAGAGAATTTGGTAGTCTCGAGATTGCTTAGGAGCTTGCAACACCATTGGCCAAAAAATGTCTCCCTTTCCCTCTAATGAGGGCCTCTATTTATAGGCTTAGGAGGGAAGGATTAATTTTGAAAACTCCAAAATTGACTCCAATTTCCAAGAAACAAGCAATTTACTTCTTGATTTTTGGACACAATTTTCATTCAAATTTAAATTTAAATTTAAATTATTCCACTAAATTTTGATAAAAATATCTTCATAGGCCCCACACTTTTGAGTTGGCCCAATTGTCAAAATAATTTCTTTTGGTGTGACTCATAATTTAAAATGGGTTAAGATTCATAATTTTAGTAAGACTCATACCCATTTGAAAATTTTGACCATCTTAATTTTGACCAATCAAAGAAAATTTATTTGGCTTGATTAATCAGATGGTGATCAAGACACGTGAAAATTTAGGTGTCTACAGCGGCTTTGTCTCTCTATTCGTTCGTTCGTGAGGTGCTTAGGATTTGTGAGCTTAGATAGAGAAGAAAAGAGGGAAAAGGAAAAAGAAAAAAATTTGTCCAAACGACATTGTTTTGAAAGCATGGTAGGAACAATTGCAGGAAGCTACGGCAGAGGATGTAAACTCGTGACGATAGTAGTGTAGTAATATTAGTAAGACTTTAATCCAATGAAAAATATTTTCTGCCAAATAGATTTGTTTCTATTAATCATGAAAAGTATTTTCTACTTACACTACTGGAATTGGGGGATTTAACGGCGTTTAATTAACAACGTTTTATTAAACGTCACCTTTTTTAAAAATTAACGGCGTTTTTTAAACGTCGCAATTGTTATTAATTAAAACGGTGCCGTTTTGTGACTAGTAGACGTTTGAAAAGCGCCTTCAAATCCTGTCTCTCCTCAAACCCTATCCCATCTCTCCAAACCTTTATTTTGAAAACCTATTTTGAGCACCGCCATCTACATATGAAGTTCGAATCTCTCCCTCACTCTCTTTCTCTCAAAGGATCGAATCAATATGAAGTTCTCTCTCTCGATTCGGTGATTTTTCTTCAGCTCGGTGATTCTTCTTCTTGAGCACAGAGCGATTGCGATTGCGATTTCGAAGTTCAATTTTGAGCACCGTGATTTGGAACTCTTCTTCAGATCCATGATCTTCGTCTTCTTCGATCAAAGGATAGATGTTCTTCTGTGCTCTGTTTGAGCACCGTGATTTGGAACTCTTCTTCAGATCTGTGATCTTCATCTTCTTCGATCAGAGGTTAGATGTTCTTCTGTGCTCTGTTTGGAACACTTCGTATTCTTAGATGTTTCTTCAGCTCCGTGAATCTCTTCTTCTGTGCTCTGTTTCCACTTTTTGCTTAAATCATTATCTTCTTCGTTTCTAGTTTTACTTATTATTCTGCTCAAATCACTATTAGGTGATGATCGATGATTCACTTCAGTTTGTCTCTATTTGATTTTTTCTTTCTTTGCTTTTAAGATCTGCATATATACATACAATTTAATTTGTCTATTCATGAATTATATGATGTATAAAATATGTGTGTGATTTCGTTATGGTCAAAGCAATCACTTGATTTTCTTTTTGGTTGTCAAGTTTTACTTGTGGTTTTTTTTTTCCCCCTGCATTTTACTTGAATTTTTGAAATCTGAAGAATTATGGTGACTATGATTCACATAATTATGGAAGAGTGAAAGGAACATAGTAATTTTAGAATTTGTTGAACATGCCAATTGTCTAATATAAAATTATTTGAATTAAAACTAATCAAAAGAAAATGAACATAGTAATCAGAGTTTGAATTTAAATTATTTTAATGTGATTTATTTTTTTATATTTAATTAAATTTGCATATAAAAAAAAATGCATCACTTCGTAATTTTTGAGGACAATACAAGTTGAGATGTTGGCCTGTTACAACTAACATTGGAGGATGCTTTGAATTTGGTCATCTAATAAATTATTTAGTCAATGTGTTCCACTTTGGTAGACTCTTCTCCTCGAGGAGCCACTGTAAAAATGCTAAGGATTAAAATTTATTTTGAGTTTTATTTTAGAAGTATATGTGTGGTGTTTATATAAAAATAATGAGATATGAGTCACAAAAATGATTATGACTCAAGTATAGATTAAATCTAAACAATGTTTAAAATCACAGCGTCATTGATTACGTATCAATAAATATCAGTACGTGAAGTACAAAATTCTCATATTATCAGCTGATATTTAAAGACACACTTAGGTTTGAGTTGAAAAAGCAGCAGCAGAATGTGGAAGAAAGCAAGAACATTAGGCAGAGCTTGTTAATTATTATATTGACACTGCAGAAATTAATATATCACTGGTATGATGTATCTGAAATCATTTGGGCCATATCTCTAATAAAGACAGACAAAATGATTAACTCACAAGTTAGTAGTTGACTTGTTTCTCTTACTTTCTTTATTCTCTTATGGTGTTGGCTTATAGTGAATTCTATCACCAAATTAAGCACCAGCTGTTACCACTAGACAGGTCAGATCATTGTCTGTTACCACTAGACAGTTCAAATCGTTCTGTGTTTATTGTATGCATTAGACTAGTTTTGATTTTTCCCCAGTTTATGGCTGATTTTCTAACTTTTTTACTTTTTTCTTTCTGCAATTTCAAACTAAAATTTTGGTTGTCTTGTTAGGAAGAATTTACCTTGGGATGCACAGTTTGGTTGATATCATAGGCGGTCGTGCATTTGGATTGGCAATTCTTGCATTTTGGATTAGTGTTCATGAATACATTGACGATTTCATAGTTTCTGGGGAAAATGGTATGTATATTTCTACAACTTCAAAATATTAGATTTTGTGTTAGATGTGAAAATATTGTTAGTCATTGTTCAACCGCTGAAATATATTGAAGGCCAATAAACTGATCTTGTGAAAACCAAGGAGCTAGGCTTCTGAAAATCTTGATTGAGGTAATAAGCACTCAAATGGCTGCAAAAGATGCTTTAACGGTCTACTTGGAACCTAAACAAGCCAACTTCCCCAAGCGTGGCTTTCAGATCCAACTTAATGGATTGACTATGGCTATATAGACTATAAGTGAATGCCAAAGACTGATAAGAAATTTTAAAGTGACATATTGGGGAACCTGCCATGACAATCATAAATATGGGTTAGTCATAGACTTTGGGCCTCTTGGAAGGACAAGTTTCATATAGCATGTGAGTGTGCCCAATGTGAACAGTTTTAGTTTTTTCTTAAATTGGATTGGAACTAGGTTTCTTTTTTGCAGTGATGAACAGTCAAAGGTAAATAATATTGATTCATGCACTAGTTTTTTCTTAAAGTTTTTAGCGTTGTATAATTTATAAATAAGTTCACTTTTGTAATATTTCACTTTTATGAATAATTTCCTAGGCATTCTTATGACTGCCATGGTCAAAGGTATGGAGATGAAGCTTCATTGTACAGCCTAGTAGATTAATTAAGCTTTGGTTTGTAATTTATACCTTTACTTTTGGCATTAAATGTTAATTGTAGGTTGAATCTTAGCAAGTTAAACCATTTAATCAAATTTTGTAAAGTTTTTAGCGTTGTATAATTTATAAATAAGTTCACTTTTGTAATATTTCACTTTTATGAATAATTTCCTAGGCATTCTTGTGACTGCCATGGTCAAAGGTATGGAGATGAAGCTTCATTGTACAGCCTAGTCGATTAATTAAGCTTTGGTTTGTAATTTATACATTTACTTTTGGCATTAAATGTTAATTGTAGGTTGAATCTTAGCAAGTTAAACCATTGAATCAAATTTTGTATTACTCTAAATTAAAAATAAATATTTTTTTGAATTTTACCGAATCGACGTATCCGTATTATACCATTTCTCATACCCGTGCTTCATAGACCCCTAATGCTTTTTACAATTCCTTAGGTGGAAAAGATAAACCAAAACTGCCTTTTGTCTTTGCTTTTTTCTATTTTCTTTCATTTTCTACTTTGTTAAACAGGTAAAGTGATCGGGTCATATTTCAGAAATTGCACAAATTTTAGTGGCTTTACACGAATGGAGCCTTCAGCACATATTGTTAATGTCTTTTTCCAGTGTCACACTAAAATTTCATGAAATAGTTAATGCCTTGTTGTGTTGAAGGCTCCATTCTTTTTAATGGCTATAACCTTTCTATTGGATGTGTAGCTTCAAGAAAATTCAATCTGTATAGGACACTCGAGGATGATTAGTGCTCTTGGTTCATGGGATATACATTTTTGAGTTGTGGCTCTAATTTTGTAATGTTGAATATTTCAGGTCCTAGTAGCTTTGACATCTTTGAAGGCCATTCAAAAGCTACCATGCTTATAATATTTAACAATGCAGCACAAGGAATCCTATCCTCATTTTTCTTCAAATATGCAGGTTTGATTACTTTCCTTAGTAGTTTGAGGTCTTCTTTCTATGCATCAACCTTCAGATGCTGTTCTGCTCATTTGAGACTTTAAGAATTATATTTGTTATTGTTCAATATGCACCATTACACGAGTTATTGCATGGGGAATTTTCTTAGTTGCAATCTGACATTTTGTTTGATGTGACCAGATACAATCTTGAAGAAGTATTCATCAACTGTTGCCACAATATTCACAGGCATAGCATCTGCTGCATTATTTGGCCACTCTGACTATAAACTTTATGTTAGGAATTACAGTTGTTTTCATCTCAATGCACCAGGTACTACAAGAAAGAGAAATATATTTTAATGATTACCATGTTATTTTCAGGATTACCTTGTGTTTCATTTTCCCCCCCTTTGCAGTTCTTTTCTCCTCTTTCAAAGGTCAAAGATGAACAGCAAAATGGTGTGGTGGAACTAAAGGATGTTCAGGATAACCACAGGTATTTGCTTCTTGTTTTGTCTGTTATAATTCAAAATGCCTTCATTTCAAGGACGTGTTTGGAGATGTATGTGGAATTGGGAGATTAATTGTCTGTATGAACTGAAAGTGTACTAAAAATTATTATTCTTGGTGTTACCCACTTGAAAATACATAAAAAGAGATCTAATAAACTGTTAATTTTAAAATGGCAACAGTCTAATAATGGAATGAAATATTGTAATGTGTACATATATATATTGAGTGATATATTGAGATTTAAGAGTTGCAATATTTTGCCTGTGGATATCGATGATAAATTCCATCATGTATTGATGGATATATCGCAAACACTAATACTACAGATACAGAAGCAACATCCGAACGTGTATAAAATGGTTTGTATATATAGATGTGATCCCCCTCAACTTTAAAAACCTACCCTTAAATGCCCTCTGCTCCTGTTTAAAGTGAATACACATATGGCCTCAACAAGAAATGATTCTCACTCAAATTTAATGCCTTTGTTCTTATCTTTTATCTCACCCTCCCATTTTCTCCCTCGCTGTACCTGGACTATGGATTTTGTGGTGTGCCTTTCGCCTGATTCAATGAGGCCTCTTGAATCTGATGAGTAGTTCATGGATAACGTCTATATAAGTAGTTCCCCATTGACGCAGCGGAATAAATCACGCGAGACTAGATATCGTTCTAGTAGACGAGAATTCTTGAATCCACAAGAACAACCTTGAATCCACAAAGAAGATAGAAGAAAGCCCTTAAAAATATTATTGAATGAATGAAAAATACATATGATTGTAGGCTTATTTATAATAGATTATACCTAATACTTGTAGGAAAAGTGATTCCAAAATAAACTAGGAAACTTAAATCAACACAAATTAAGAAACCTAAGAGAACTAAGAAACCTAAAAGACTAAAAATTCTAAGCTATTTAAAATCCTAGTCAAAAACCTAATTCTAAATAATAAAATTAAGAAATATAAAAATTATAGAATTTTGTTCTACATCTTTTTTCTTGCCTTTTGTCGGTCCAATTGTTCCAAGAAGTTTTCGGCTACTTGTTCTACATCAGTCCCTTCTTCTTGGAGAGAACTCGACCTCGAGTTCGATTCTGGATAGAGGGGTTCTTCAGCATGATACTCATATAAATCAGTTACATTAAAAGTCTTGGAAATCTTCATGTCGTCTAGTAGCTCAATCACATAAGCATTGTCATTGATTTTCTTTAACACCCTATATGGACCATACTTGCGAGGCTTCAATTTGTTGTATGTGCCAACTGGAAATCTGTCTTTGCGCAAAAACACCATTACTGAATCTCCTTCCTTGAATAGTTTGGAGCGCCGATGGTTGTCTACAGCTGCCTTACTGAAGGTATTTGTTTCCTCCAGCTTCTGTCGTACTTCTTCTTGTATTGTTTGGGCTTGTTTAGTCATGGTTTCGGCGGCAGTACTCACTCCTGGACCCCGAGGCAAACGGAGCAAATCAACTGCATGTTTTGGAGGCGCGACAGACACCAGAGAGAATGGCGACTTTCCTGTGGCACTGTGAACTGCGCTATTATATGCAAATTCTGCTTGAGGCAAAGCAAGATCCCATTGTTTTGATTTGTCTCCACAAATGCTGCGAACCAAATTGCCCAAAGTCCTATTAGTCACCTCTGTTTAACCATCTGTTTGAGGATGCGCAGTTGAACTACGATTCAAGGCTGTGTTAAATATCTTCTACAAAGTCACCCAGAAGTGGCTAAGGAACTTGACATCACGATCTGAGGTAATGGATTGAGGGACTCCATGCAAACGAACTACTTCTCGAAAGAATAATCGAGCCACATGAGAGGCGTCTGAAGTCTTTCGACAAGGAATAAAATGCGCCATCTTTGAAAACCTGTCAACTACTACGAACACAGAATCAACTCCACGTTGGGTACGAGGGAGTCCCAACACAAAGTCCATCGACAAGTCTTCCCATATGCTGTTAGGAAGGGAGTCCCAACACAAAGTCCATCGACAAGTCTTCCCATATGCTATTAGGAATAGGTAGCGACATATAGAGCCAGTATTCTGAGACTGTTGCCCTTTGGATACTTGACAAATGTAGCACTTCCTCACAAAATTGCCAACATCTCGCTTCAACTGAGGCCAGAAATATCGTTCTTGCATACTTGCGATAGTCTTGTCCCTGCCCAAATGTCCACTTAAGCCACTACCATGGAGATCTCGAATTAGTTTCTCTCGCAAAGAGCTACGGGGAATGCATAAGCGATTTCCTCGAAATAGATAGGCATCAATGATGTGGAAATCAATTACTGGTTGTCTTTGAATACACTTTGCCCATATCTCCTTGAAGTCATCATCATCAGGATGAAGTTCTTTCAGGAACTCAAAACCCACAATCTCATGTGTCAACATGACTAATAAACTAGCCCGTCAACTCAAGGCAACCGCGACTCGATTCAAAACCCCTGATTTGTGGCGAATAGTAAAAGCAAATTTCTGAAGGAAAGTAGACCATCTTATATGCATGTTATCTAGGTGCTTCTGGCTGTTGATGAACTTTAAGGCTTGATGATCAGTATATAACACAAACTCTCTCTGTATCAGGTAATGTTCTCAATGCTTCAAAGCTCGAACCACTGCATAAAATTCTTGGTCGTAAGTGTTCCACTTTTGCCGAGCTTCACTTAATTTTTCACTGAAAAAAGCCACTGGTTTATGTTCTTGAGATAGGACAGCCCCAATGCCCACACCACTGGCATCACACTCTATCTCAAAAATCTTCTCAAAACTAGGCAAAGCTAGTACTGGTGCAGTGCACAACTTCTCTTTGATCGGCAAGAAGCTCTCTTCTGCATCATCATCCCACAGGAATTTTCCTTTCTTCATGCACTCTGTTATTGGTGCCATAATAGTGCTGAAACTTCGAATGAAACGCCTATAAAGCGTAGCCAACCCATGGAAACTCCGAACATCACTAACAGTCCTGGGTGTTGGCCACTCTTGGATGGCTCGAACCTTCTCTTGATCCACATGAATGCCATCTGAACTAACCAAATAACCCAAGAACAGCAAACTACTTGTAAGGAAATTGCACTTCTTAAGATTAATGTACAACTTGCTTACCCCCAGTGCTGTCAACACCTCTCGTAAATGGGACATGTGGTCCTCTTCAAATTTACTGTAGATTAATATGTCATCAAAATAAACCACGACAAATTTCCCAGTGAAAGGTCGTAATACTTGATGCATTACTCGCATGAAGGTGCTAGGAGCATTAGAAAGGCCGAATGGCATAACCAACCATTTATACAAACCATCCTTAGTCTTGAATGCTGTTTTCCATTCATCCCCAGGACGGATTCGAATTTGATGGTACCCACTTCTCAGATCGATCTTTGAAAACCACTTTGATCCTTCCAGCATATCCAACATATCATCTAGTCTGGGAATGGAAAATCTATACTTGATAGTAATCTTGTTGATGGCTCGGCTGTCTACACACATTCGCCAACTTCCATCTTTCTTTGGCGTTAATAATGCCGGAACAGCACATGGACTTAGGCTTTCACGAATAAGTCCCTTTCACAGCAATTCTTCAACTTTCTCTCGTAGGATCTCACTCTCTTTTGGACTCATTCTATAGTGTGGTAGGTTTCGCAGACTTGTTCCTGGTAAGAAATCAATCTGATGTTGAATGTCCCTCATGGGTGGAAGTTCATCTGGCAACTCGTCAGCAGTAAGCTCTTGGAATTCCTCCAACAATGGTTGAATTTTCTGAGGGATTGGTGTGACTGTGTTCTCCTTGGCCATAGGTACCATTGTTTTCACAACCATAGCATATAACTCTTGTGAAGTTTTCACATCTGCCACAAACTCGGCCTCTGAATTGGTTATAGTGAGGAAAGACTTTGCTTCGACTTTCGAAGGCACTTTGTGTTACTTTAAGGGACTCATAGCAATTTTATGAGACCCCCAATTGAACACATAAGTGTTGTCACGCCCTCTAAATGTAATATCCACATCAAATTGCCAAGGTCTTCCAAGTAATACATGACTAGCATCCATATCAACCACATCACATAATACATCAGATTTATAATGTTTACTAATAGAAATAGGTACCTTACATACTTCAGTTATCTTGACAGCAGGTCCTTTTTTGATCCATCCAATACTGTAGGGAGAGTGGTGTGGTTCAAGAGACAAGTTCAGGTGTGTTACCAATCGTTTTAGCCACAAAATTTTCACAACTTCCACTGTCCATAATAAGGTCACACACCTTTTGGTTTATGGTACAACAAGAGCGAAAAATACTGTGACGTTGACTGAGGTCCTCGGCTTTTGGTGTAAATAGAACCCTTTGAACTACACAGTTGACTCGTTCTCCTTCTTCTCTAGCGAGTTCAGCACCTTCATACTGATCACCCTCATATTCTGCATCTCCATTATCTCCAATTTCATCTTCTTCTTCAACTAAATTAGCAGTCCTTCTTTCTGGGCAGACATTAGAGCGATGGCCAGGCATACCACATCTATAACACTTATCCATTGTTGGTTTGGCATAAGGATTTGTGTTTCGAGATGCCTCTCTACGACTTGATCCAGTCATCTGGTTTCCTCCTCCACCAGCGATACCCCTCTACTGATGTACTGGAACTGTTGGTTAGGCAGCCCCTTTTCCTTTTTCCCTAGTGGAAAACGATGAATCAGGAAGGTTCCGACGATATCCAGAATAGGTTGTCTTGCGCTCCATTAGCTCGGCTTTGAGAGCCATATTATGTGCTTCATCCACAGTCCACACTACTGATAGCCCCATCTTCTCCCGAATGGTTAATTTTAATCCATTGAGATACCGGGCTACACGCTGTCCTTTGGTCTCATTCAGATTATTGCGATCTGAAAGTCGGCAAAATTCAGTTGTATAATCAAATACAGATCGGCTTCCTTGGTTGCAATTTTGGTACAACTGAAACAAGTGTTGATCATAATCTGGTGGTAAAAATCTGTCTTGGAGGGGTTGTTTCATCCGACGCCAAGTCCGTACAGATTCTTTT